TTGAAAATAAAGTACTATTTTTTAAGCTTTTGGTTCTTTGTGAATTTCACATCATGCACCCAATCCTACTCACTTCCCAGTTCCTTTGTATCTGCCCTTCCCCTTTCCAACCCTTCCCCAAGAAAATTAGAATTTTAAAAAGTCCTGTCATGGAAGCTTCAGTGCGGCTCTCTTGAAGGCTGGGCACACCAAAGGCAAAGTCATCCATGGATAGGCACCACCCATGTGAACACCTTTGCCAGACGGAGAGAGCACCTCTGACAACCAGAGGGGCATAATACTCCTCGGCAGAGAAATGTAACAGTTTTGGGTCCCATTACATACAGGGCAGAAGATGAGGGCTTCTCCATGGTTTTCTCCATGAACTGCCAGGCTTTACACACCAGTGAAGGAAGGGGAGCCACTGGTCCCTGAGGAAGCATTGCACGTTGATGGGTAGATAAAGAGAGACCCCTTATAATGGAAGGCAGAAGTCTACTACCCAGAGAAGGAGAGCTTCGGCAATGCTGACAGTTAATGCCACAGTCGTCAGAGAGCCCAGTTCCAATCAGCGTGCATCCTGTACTGTAGCTTCCTCAGTGGCACACTCACCAGTGGGCTCCTTAATAGTTACACTCTGTCAAGGCAAGATTTGTGGAAACATCAGGAGACAATACAAATAATTGGTGATATAGTATGTTGCTCGCAGGTCCTTACAGTCACCTAAGAGTGACAGAGTGGATCGAATTGTCATAAAGACGCCAATGGCTTGAAGAAGCCGCGCTGAAGATGTCACCTCCTGGCTGCAATACCAGGCCGAAAATAACACAGAAGCTAGAAAACCACGTGGGCTGGTGCTCCGCAACAGGGCCCTGCTTTGCCGGGGCAGGAGGCGTGCACTCTTGCCAGCAGTGTGTGCTCAGTGATACCCAACATGCCTGGGGGTTGGAGATGGTTGACATCAAGAGAGGAAATCTGCCCTTGTGGTGGTAGCAAACAGTCCACACCAGTCCAATACCAAGCTCAGAGAAAGCCTGGCGTGCTAGAACCCCCTAAAAGATGGCACAACCAGGACTTGCTAGTTAAACTTGAGGTATAGAATCTCCCAAATAGAAAGTTACCAAAGTACCCTCTTCACAATGCATGCATGGTAACAGTGGGCTAAGGACGAAGACAAACTACTGATCTTCCAGCTGCTATACTCACTCAGGAGAAGGGCTCATGCAGGGGAGAATTACTGAAGCAGGCTTCATAGACCTGCCCCCACAGTTATGTCAAGTGGACGAAGCCTTGAAAAGTCTCAATTGAAATGCTTCAAAAAGACCAGCTAATAGCCATGCCACAATCACTGAACTGCAGTTTCCAGCACTACAACTACAAATTAAAAATGGGCTGGTCTCTTGAGCCATAGCAAGGGACATGATATCACTTCATCATGTGTGGATAGAGCCAATTTTATACTAGACACAGAATGCCTGATGTGTCTCTGGCAAATTGGAACCAGGCCTGGAGAGTTCACAATATCAGCTCTCTGAGGAGAGGGCAGATTAGGAATTAAGTTTTACGGTCCTCTAGTTGTGAAAATGGGCTATCAAGATTTAGTCATTTTGGGGGGAATTATTCCTAAAGAAACAAACGCAGTGATAGGACAGTCAGACCTCACTATGGTAGCCTCTTTCTGTTCCCTGACTGATTTAACCTTGTGTGATGAATTACAGTTACTTCGGCATCAGGTACAGTAAATGCATGGTGCCTTGTCTCAGAGGCACAAGAAAGGCATCAGCTCTGAAGGGGAACACGGGAAACATGTCAGTGTCTGAAGTGGCCACAGAGACTTTGTTGTTGTAAAGGCCTCTGATTGTAAGAAGAAATGCTGGTGTGGGAAGGAGATCACTGGCCACTCCTTCTTTGAAGATGGTGGAGAAAGAGGAACAGACAAGCAGAGGCCCATTGGATTTAGTTAATACAGCCTTGGGTATTGGGCTCCTCATTCTACTTGTGTCACCGCATTGTATTTGCTGTGTGGATCCTTGCTTTGCCTTGCTTTTCCAGCATCCAGAGCCACTGAGTCAGTAAAGCGTTCAAACGCCCACAGAGTCTTCCTGGTTCTTTCCTTGAGCCCTTGAAACAGCGCTCTGAGGTTTCTGAAGCCAGGCAAATGGAAGACAATGAGAAATAAGCACTAGGAGGTGGTACAGTGATAGGTTCTGTGATCAGGGTGCAGGTTTGGTAGGCGATGTTAAAATCACTCGACAGAACTTACTCTCCTGACTTGACTTTTTCCTGTGACAAAGGGGCCCATGGATTTCTGGGGTCTGCTGGGGGAGGTACCATTGTGTCCTGACGTACTTCATGGAGTAAGTTGAAGCTTCGTACAAGCACTCTTGCTGTGAACACTTTAGGACACAGGGTCATAAAGAGGTTGTGGCCCCCCTTTTTTACCACAGAGCCAGGCACACCACCCCAAGCTGATTGGGATGGTCATAATGTGTCGGAAAAAGAACCATGTGTAGGATGGAAAGCACCTATCGTCAGAGGAGAGTGGAGTCTTTAACTAATCAGACCCATCATGCAAGAAGCATGTCAAACAAAAGCCCTGATTTTCCTAGAACTGTCAGTGTGGTAAAACCAAACAGCAGACCAAAAAGATACACAGGGAGAGAGAGAAAGTGGAATTAGTGTTTTTGTGGATTTAGTTTAGGTCTCTGGAAAGTTGATGTGTAAACAGTAAGAAGATGGCTGCCTGGAAGTTAAATAACCCGTGTTAAAGGCTACCTCAGTGATTCTAGAGTCAAGTCAGTTGAATCCATGGCATTAACGAATGGTGGCCTGTATTTGTTATTTTCCATTGCTGTGGTGAAATAACATAGCCAAGAGAAACTAGAAAAAAAAAAAAGTTTGTTTCCGTTTATGATTCAGAGGGGGAAGTCCATAAAAGGCATGACAGCAGGAGGCCAGAGCAGGAGGCTAAGAGATCTCATCTTCCAAAGCAAACACAGTGAGAGAGCAAACCGGAAGTAGGCTATCGGTATCTAAGCTCTCCAGGCCCATGATGTACTTCCTCCAGCAAGGCTACGCTGCCTAAAGATTTCATAATTTCCCCCCAAACAGTACCACCAACTGGGGACTATGTATTCAAATACCTGAGCCTATGGGGGATAGTTTTCACTCACCATATGGCCAATATCATTAAATCAGCTGCTGGAATATGCAAAAACAATTTGCAACTACTGGGTCAGAGAATTTTTGCCATTCCTACTGATTGGGTAAGATGTGGGTGGGAGAGCCATCAAAACCATTGTCTCACATCCTCTGTCTTCTCTAGATACATGTTATGGTTTGGATATGAAATGTTCTGCACAGATTTATACGTAGGGGTTTTGGTTGTCTGCTGGTGGACTTTTAAGAACTAAGTGGATCCTAAAGGCTTTGCGTGAACCAAAGGATTAATCCCACGATAGATTCATAGTATGACCGCATTACTGAGAAAATATTTTAAAGAAGTGTGTTGGGGGATGAAGACACGTATTGGAAGTTAGCCCTTCAAGGGGTTATGATCTTTGCTCTTCTATTTCCTGCCTGTCCCAACGTGAACTGTTACCCCATCATGCAATTCCTATACTGTTCATGCCCAAAAACAATGAAGCCATTGAACCTTGAACCAAAATCTTGAAAATTATGAACCAGAATAAATCTTCCTCTTCTTAGATATATGACATGGGTGGTGTGTTAATTTCCCAGAGTCACTGTGACTAAGTACTACAGACAGTTTACACAACAGACAACATTGTTCTCTCTGCTGTGGAGGCTGGTCATCCAAAGTTACAATGTCTGTAGAGCCAAGGTCACCCTGAATGCTCCAAGCAATCATTTTTACCTCCTTGTTATTTCTGGTTCATGACGAGGTTCGGTGTGCTCACTCAAAATTTCATCACTCCAATTTGGCTCTCCCTTGTTCCAGTGACTTCTCTAGATCTTCGTGTCTTTAGTGACAGTCACAAGATCAGGGACCACTACTATGACCATGCCTTAACCTGATTTCTTCTCTATAGATCTTTCTCCAACTTCCAGCACATCCACAGGGTGGGAGGCTAGGATTTAGATGTGTTTGGAGAGAGAACATTTCAACCTAAAACAGGTGACAGCAGGGTGGCCACTGTGTGCCATCAGCGCACTTAAGGCCTAATTGCTTTCTAATGGGTTAAAAATGGTGGTGTAATTCCAGCTATTGGGGGTAGGCGGGGTTGAAACAAGAGGACCAAGAGTTCAAAGTGAGCACGGAGAGTGCAGCAAGATCCTGTCTCAGCTCTAATTGGCCAACTAAATAAGCCAGGGATGGGACATATTTTGCGGTACAGTGGTTGGCTGTTATTTGTGAGGTCTTGTGTTTTATCCATAGCACTGGTAAATAAATCATTAAATGTTAATTTAAAGGTGTGAGTACTTGTCTGGCTCTCTGAGCATGTGTGTGTGGGTGTCTTCTGTCTTCTTGAGGCGCTGGGACTCATCCTGCATGCAGCTTCGAGCCTGTTAGATACTCCTTTTCTATGTTTGTGAGGGCTTGTCCAAGGTGGGCATCATTCTTTGTATTTCCAGTATGGCCAGCAAAAGGCAAAAGACTTGTGAGGCAAAGAAAAAAACAAAACCCCAAGGCCAAAAAAAAAAGTACTATTGTAGGCAGGGAAACGGTAGGAGGGGCTTCTGGGTGGGACACTGACCGCTCTGAGCAAACATGTAGCTGGGCTCCTGGAGTGGCTTCCCAGAGGCTGGTTTCCCAAGCGAACAGCCAAACAGGTCAGAAGGAGGTGGTGGGAGGGCCCAGTTCTAAGGTTCTCTGCAAGCGCATTGCAGAACTGAACAGGGTAACTGGCTAATGCCAGTTTTCATGCTGTTTATGTTGCAAGACATTATGAATTAAAGACAGAATCCTGAATTGACATTTTGTAAAATGACATTTACATGATGGAAATGTAAACAATGAATTCTTACAGTAGCATTGCCAAACTGAAGAAATAAAAGGGTCAGTATGCATAAATTTTCACTTTGTGGACCTCCTTGTCCTCGCACTCCCTGTGTTTGTTGTAGTAGTAGAAAGTATTGTCCCTTCGCTGAAGTTTCTTCACGTAGCCTGTCTCCGGCCAACGGTCTACCTGTGTGGGAAGGATCAGAGTACGCATGCTGTGAGGGCAGTTTTATTTTATATTATTTCCCACTACCAAACAACTTGCATAGAAAATTAAAGTCTGAGATTACGTTTTAAAAGCCTTGCACGCTTCGGGAGAACACCAAAACAAACCTCAGTTTTCAGCCTTATTCTGGAGAGCGCATAGAGCATACCTTTAGAGCTCAGTTTCAAGGCTTTAGTGTCAACACTATGGCCAAGATTGAGGATGTGTGCCGAATAATTTAAAATTTATTGTTCTTATGTTTCTAAGTGATTCAAAACACTGTAACTTCTAAAATGAAAGCCCCAGGAGGGAACTGGGGTGAGTCCAGGGCCTCTGTTGAAACAGCTATCCTGATCATGGGCTTCAGGCAGGAACAGAATCAGTTCTCAACCTGTGGGTCACGACCCCTATCACAGAGGTCCTCTATTAGATATCCTGCATATCCAATATTTACGTTACAGTTCCTAACAGTACCAAAATTACAGTTACAAAATAACAGTGAAAATAATCTTGTGGTTGGAGGTCACCACAGCATGAAGAACTGTATTAAAGGATCTGCATTAGGAAGGCTGAGGACCACTGGACTAAAGGCAGGTGGTGGACTTGAAGAAGCACCTCTGCATGTCTACCCAAGCTTCAAGTCCAAGCCCAATTTTTAATACAATCTCAAAACCATAACTATAGTCCTCGCACCGCTTTTCTTCTCCCCTCTATTCTTTGCTCCGTGCTTCTCTGATTTGCTTGATTTGACACTTGTTGGCTGGATTTGTATGCTCTTTTTGCTTCCTCTCCAACTTTAATGTCATGCTTTCTTGGCCAGGTCAATGTGTGGTGGGTGTGGTGGGTGTGGTCGGTGTGGTGGGTGTGGTGGTTTCAGACACTGTGTCATGTAATTTGCTGTCTGTGCTACATACCCAAGGATGACCTTGAATTTCTGACTTTCTTGCCTCTGCCTGGGGATTACAGGCGTAGAACACCACGTCCTGTGTGTGCCTGGAATGGAACACAAGGTGGCTTCATGTGTTCTGGGCGAGCACTCTCCTAACAAAGCCCCAGTCCCAGCCCAGTGTGTGTATGAGAGAGAGAGAGACAAAGAGACAGAGAGTCTGAGTGTCTGTATGTACGTGTGTGTGAGAGAGAGACAGAGAGTCTGAGTGTCTGTCTGTATGTGTGTGTGAGAGAGAGAGACAGAGACAGAGATTCTGAGTGTCTGTATGTGTCTGTTAGGAACCTGTCAAGTCTTAATAACTTTTTATTTTGTCTGTAACTTATCACAATGCATTCTAGGACCCAATGTGTTCTAGCTATTAATAAAAAAAGTTCCTCCTGAATTTTGTTGGAGGTACTTTATCATTATCAAAAGTCTAAGCCACATTTTGGTAATTCAAAACCCTTTTCTTCAACACTACCAATCTAGCAGTGTTCCTTTTCACTTAACTCTTATAAGTCACAGCCCCCAACTGGAAGAAAAGATGAGTACACTATTTGGGGAACCATGTCTATGATTTTCTGGTAATTTCCCCTTCTTCCTTTTTCCTTTATATTTCTTTCATTGTTTTGCTTGAGGCAACTTTCCCTATTGTAGCCTGACTGAGACCCTCAAACTTAATATTCTCCTATCTCAATCTCCAGGGCACTGGGACCTCAGGCATGGGTCAAGATGCATGGATCTTGCATTTTCTCTCTCCTGGTTTACTTCTGTGTCAGTAGAAGCAGAGCCTGGCCCATCTGATCAGTGTGGCAAGTCCAGCTGTATTTACTCTGTAGGAAAACAGCAAATGTTTCTGGTACTGGAGTCAAAGCTTCCCTGTCGTCAGGGAAAGGGAGTGTTCTCAAGACAGTGGGGCAGCGTCTTATCCCTTCACCAGGTCCCAAGGACAACCATTTTAGTGTATAATCAGCGCACTGGATCTTCAGAACAAGGCCACTCCTAAGCACCAACTGGAGAGCTATTCAGGAGGGAAAATCCATGGAAGAACGTCAGGTGGGCGGTCAAAGAGGGAGTTACCAACGGCGCCTCGTGAGTTCTCTAGCTTGAGATCCACTAATGTAAAGTTAGCTAATTGTAGAGTACAGCTACAGCGGAGAGAATGCGTGTGTCTGTACCCCCAGGGCTTGGGAAGCAGGGGACTGATTTAAGGCTTTCATCTACATAGTGAATTCAAGGCCAGCCTGGCTACAGAGTGAGAGCTTACCTCAATGAACAAAAAGAAAAACAACAACAACAACAAAAAAAAAAACAAAATAACAAAAAAAGAAATAAAGAACAAAAGAAAGAAAAGAAGAAAACAAAACAATATAGGCAAAGCCTTTCTAATTCACAGTCAGAATTAGCAGAGGGGAAATGATATTTTACCACAAACTGAATATGTGATAATAGTTACCAGAGTAAGGAAAAGGACTGTCTTCTGTGCTCTACCAAGAAAAACTCATGTATGTGAAAGCACAGTAGTTCAGGAAGTGTGAATGTGTGCCCAGCCAAGGGACTGCATTGTCCCCTGAGTTGTAGACCACTTTTATAGGCTTTAGTCTCCCTCTCTTCAGATGAGATGAGAGTGTCGAGGATTCCCTTCAGTTGTGTTTTGTTACTCTATTGTTAAAGCACATTTCACCATCTGAGGAACTGGCTTAGCAAATTTGAATAACAGTAGATTTTACCATTGCAACTTGTTTCACTTGTTTATATTCAATTTCATCCCGATATCCTGCTTGTTGAAATCTGTACAGGTTTTCTATTTCTTCTGACCATTTCTTGGCACGACTTATTGATTTTGGTTTCACATCAGAACTAGCCATGGCTACAGAGGCCTTATCAGCAATTATTTCTGAAAGAAGTTAGAACAATATTAATAGGTAACATGATGATTACAATTTTCAAAACCTTTAGAATGAACAAAAATACTAAAAAAATGAGAAAGAACCTCAGAGTAAACATTTCACATTTTAACATTCATTTCCAATACTGTTATTTTTGAAAAACAAAACGATATAACCAAAATACTCCTAAACCCTGGAAGGTACACAGAGAATAGTTAATTTCATTATCAAATAAAACTGCACTTGGAGTTATTGAGCAATGTTCTAAGAGTGTCTATTCTGAGGCTTTGGGCAGTAGATAATGTACAATTATGAAAACATACTGTTCTTTGACTCTGCTCAATATATCGTCCAAATATTCTACCACTATTCCATTGATTTATATTCTCACTCTCTCTCCTTTTCTCTCTCTTTAAAAAAAAATGTAAAGACAATCAATCATTCTTAGCAAGATCTGGTGATGGGCTTGGGAGGTCAAGGCAGGAGGATCCAGGGTAAAGGCCATCCCGGGCTGCTTACAAATCAAGAAAATAAACAGCCTTCTTACTCGCTTCCCTTTCCTGTGGGTCTCGAGACACACCTTCCATTTCTTGATTTTTGAAGACATTGTAATCTATTTTCTTGGGTCACAGCGTCACATCACCCTCCAGTAGGCCAGCGTTAGAAGACGGATGGCCAAATTCCATACTCATTTTTTGGCTGTGGAGTTAGGTCACTGACTCTAAACGGCTGGGTGGTTACTGTTGCTCTAGGACAGTCAGCTCTCCAAGTCTAGTTCCCACTAGATGTCCTCTTACCAAACTTCTCTTGCTGGTTTTCCCCAGTTACTGGGATTGAATTCAGGACTTCCTGTTAGGCAAGCATTCTCCTGTTGGGCTACATGTCCAACAGCACAGGCAGTTTCTCAGATATTTTATTTCCATTTCTCAAATACTTATTTTGTTACAAAATACCCAGAATTTTCACCATGATTCCTTGAATCCATTCTATTAAAACTGTTTCTCTTGTCTAAAATACATTGTCATACTTCATAAAGAAGATCCCCTTAAGGGAACTTATGTATTTTCAATCACTAACAAATTCTCATTAGGTTAACTAAGAAATACATTAAAATACACTGATAGAAAAGGCAAAATCACCCTCATGTCAATCAGAGGTGTCCGTCCTTGCCACTGGGTGAGCATCAACCAGAACAGATGCTAAGTCAGGAAGGGTGGGCTCAGACCCACAGGGCCTTTGCACATGCAATACAGTTAGCTTTTACAGAGGGGTCAGATAAATGGAAAAAAACAACAGGCTTTCTGGATTTCCTTGACTATTTCTTCTCTGTGAAAAATGTGCTCTACAAGTGTCTTCTCACAGTTAAGAAAAGACAGGGAGAAAACCAGGAGGCTAAGCTCCATATTAGTAGCGCAGGAGAGTGAGCGGGCTGGCTTGCAAGAGATGAACAACTTCCCTCTGCGCCTCCTGCACCCTCTAGACTTTTTGCTGCATTATTTACACCATTAAGTTCTAACTTGAAGGAGGTTCATATTCTATTTGGAAATCATATTCCCACCTTTGTTTGGCTTAGCTCCAGATTTAAATTTAAGTGAAATTCCTGGAGTTGAATAGTTCCAGTTGTGATGAAATCAGTTAGCACATACCAGATAAATTATCAGTATTGCTTTTTGCACTTTTTTTTCCCAGTGTGCAAACTGACACACACGTTGGTTAGACTGGAGAAAATTAGGGTTTTGATAACATGTGGGTTTTAAACTTTTGCCTCTCAGTTATTTTAGAGTCAGGCTCATGTTGTATTTTATTGATTTTATTGTTAGGTCTCCTGGTTTGTAATTCCATTCCTCCCACTGTGAAAGCTCATCACGTCATCATCAGTATGCTACACCAGTAGCTACGACTAACAGGCGGGCTGGAAATATGGAGTAGAGCCTGGTAACCCGCTTGTATAGGGGAGATGAATTACATATGTAACAGAAAATATGACATGAAGAATCACAGAAAGAAAAGATGTGAATTCCACTATATTAAAAACACATTTAAGTTGGGCATGGCGCACGTTTAATCTCAGCACTTGCGAGGCAGAGACAAATTGGATCTCTGTGAGCCCGAGGCCAGCTTCCTACATAGAGTGTTCCAGGACAGCCACAGCTGCACAGTAAGACCAAGTCTCAAAAACAACAGGACACCCAAGTGGCTACAGGGATACCTCACGGAGATCCATCACCGTCCTCTACTGGCCTCCTTGGGCACTGCACAACACAACGTTTACATGTACTCAAAATTCGTCTTGTTTTTTCTGTGAAGTTAGTGGCTGAGTCACTTTAACTGCTTCTGCAGATAGAGCACACCTTCTTAGGGCAGTGGCACAGTGCTCGCTTGTGTCCCCCCACGAGGCTTAGCTGTTTGATGTACAACAAAATGCTTTGATTTGCTTGTATCATTCAAAAAAGAGTTCCCTGAGAGTTACGTCTTTCATTTCTTCCAGGTTAAGCAATTGCGTTAACTAAACAAATAAAAACGCTGCATGTTGTAGGAGGAAAAACACTGCCTTCAGATGGAGGTTTAGGAAATCGCTGTTTTTCTCAGTAGGAATACCCACCTGTTTTAAAGACATTATCAGACACTGGAAAGTTTAGTGTGAAGTTCACCATAAGAGAAAAACCAAATTTAGTACTTGTGGTAACTATGCTATAAAGTGGTGATGCAAACTGTATTTTCTCTGGTTATTAAAAACAATGAAAAAAAAATAAAGTTTTTGTGAACTGACGTTCTCTGAAGCACACCTGTGCTGGAGATCCTGTGGACACAGTCACCTGGGGCTGTGACAGCTTAGTAGCCATTTACTCTCAATCTCTGGGTCTGAGACAACATATTTATGACTTTGTGAAAAAAACTTTAAGATTGCATTGTTTAGCATACCACTAGCTAAGAATTCTATAGCATCAAAAATCCAGGGAACCAATTTCCTTGCTCTATTCTAACCTGCCTGCCTCATGTCCTTACCAAAACAATTGGAAAACGCATTGAGTTATTACCATCTTTTGCTCTGTGGCTACAAATTTCATTCACCGACTTCCACAGTGGAACACAGCATGCAGGATAACCTGATAACATGTTCTCAGGCCATGGCCACACTCACATTTGTCCTAGAATTAACTATCCCTTACTAGCTTTGGATGGAATGAGAGCTATGGTTTGAATAGAGAAACTAAAACTGGAAAAGAAGAGCTTAACTTTCTTTGATTATTCAAGTGATTACTAATTCTGCTAAGTAACACTCAACACTCTAAAATGTAATGGTTTCCTTACTGGTCATTAAGGGAAAATTGTTTATAAAATACCTTTTCCTTACTAAACATGAAATGCCTCAGAGAGACCTTGTGGCCTGGTAGCTGTAGGTAGGATGGAAGCCAAACAGGAGGGGAAAGGGGAAGGCTGAGCTTTTAGAACACTTCATCCATAACTGAAGGGAAATCAGAGGAGCTAGTAGATGTTAAACTGATGGAAACAAACAAAAAACAAAGGACACAGAAAAAAACAAAACAAAACTGTGGAACAAACCAAAGCCAAACCATACAGATCAAAGTGTCAGGTTGGAATTTTCCTCAAAGATATGCATCTAATCCAGAGGCAAGGAGTAAACATTGACGGAACTGTGCAGTTTAGTGTACAGAGAACTCACGGAGATACTCTCGTTATGACCTTATTTAATCTTTAAATATTTGCCCCTGAGCTTCTGAGTCGGGTTTGCTGGAATATTCAGGATGTTCAGCCCTGCAAGGCAGCCATTGTTCTATCCCATATGGTATAAAGAACTAGAGCAGTGGGTACCAGGATGGAGTTTTTCAGACATTTTCTAAGCAATTACCTAAATTTTGGGACAGAGACTAGCAAAAGGAATTGTTGAGGCCTCACAAGGCTTGGCTCCTCGTTCCTGGCCCCGTGCTCTTGCCGCTAGCGTTGCACTTATCATGTTCTGGCTTCTCTTAGGATGCCGATGGCAACAACGGTCTTTGTTGTTACCCAATAGCAACTTTATCTACCACACTGGCTGTCCTTGCTTAAAAAGAAAAAAGGGCAGGGAGGGGAAGATGTCAGAACAGTCAAAAGAATGACCCATGGTGAACTCCACCTTGGGAACTGTGTGAGAGGCTCCAAGGAAAAAAGGCAGAGGGCCTTTTACCTCAGGTGCACTTTGTCCCCTGGGTTGTTCTTGGGTGTGATTTGATTTCATGCCTTCTGCGTTAAACATTGCGTTCAATGTATAAGACGTGTTTATACTTGTTGGATGTTGGAACATAGCTATAGAATTCAATCTGATGACAGGACATGCTGAGTGCTGTCCTCAGTCTACCTGAAGCTCAATATGACCGTCCGCCTTGCTTTCATGCTTTCCCAGGTGCAATCTACAGTACGTGCCAGGCAATTGTGTTTAAATTGCTCTGTACTGAGAAAGTTCTGGAAAAAGACTGCTCTGTTTATTTACACAGGCTCTTGTGCTTACTAGTGTTTGTTTACATGTTGTCCTGAATTCAAACAACCTTTCTTGGAGGACGGCTCTGTTACATTCCTGTATAAAAGTATAATGAAACTGAAGTAAAGGCGTCTGCTGCATTAGACTGGAGTCCACAACATTCTTTAAGGCCCTCAAATGCCAGGTCTTGCAGACAGATCTACAGAGGTCAGTGAAAGTCGGCACCAAGGAACAGAGCCAAAGCCAAACATCCTTAAAACTGTTAAAGCTTCAGAAACTGTTGGAGGAGTTATCGGCCAGACACCTAGCATGCTGGGGCAGAAGCATATCTTGTTGAAGTCCAACTGATAAAAACATATGACAACCATTTCGAATGAGACCTAGGAAAGATCACAGGCGGCAGCGCTGGAGGGCTAGAGATGAGAATAAGAGACCCCTGGCTAGCCTACGGTCTTGTCCAGTGAGCCAGGTCTACACTGACGGTCTGGGTTACAAAGGAGGTCCGCATGACTGGCGTACACTCTGCCACAC